TTCCTTCCTTCCTTCCTTCCTTCCTTCCTATTATTACCTTAACATGTTTCTTTCAGTTTCTCATTAACTTTTTTCGTTTTCTAATTCTCGCGTTCCTTTCTAATCTTACCGTTCTTTCATTCTTTTAGTTACTTTTTCTTTTCTTTCTTTGTTTCTTTAATTGTTTCTTTCTTTTCGTCTTTCTTTCTTTCTTTCTTTATTTCTTTTAGTTCTTTCTTTCTCTCTTTCATTCTTTCCCAATTTTTCTTTCTTTTAGTTCTTTCTTATATTTTATTCTTTCCCTTTCTTTCTTTGATTTCTTTCACTTATTCTTTATTTGTTTAGTACTTTATCTCTTTTCTTTTTCTTACATTCTTTTAGTTCTTTCTCTATTCGTTTTTTTTTTTATTTCTGATTTCCTCTCTTTCTTTCTTTCTTTCTTTCTTTTATGTTTTTATCCTTTCAGAAAGTGTCACTCATTGATCTCCGCAACTTGCCATCCTTTGTAGCCCTTAACACTCTGATTTTTGTTTACTATCCTTCCTCACTCTATTCTGACACAAATTTAAACAAGCATGTTTTTTTATGTTTGTTTAATACAGTGCACCTAGAGCAAAGCCGAAAAAACACTCAAAGCAGAACGATACTGAATGATGAATGTTATATGAGCTTAAAATGAGAGATTGAGTAAATGGATGTCTGAACAAGGTTTAGGAGATTGAATGCACGAGGGACAGAGGAAAACAAAGCATTACCTACCTAGAGAGATTGAGTAAATGGATGGTGGAACAAGGTTTATGAGATTGAAGGCAAGAGGGACAGAGGAAAACAACCCATAACCTACATAGAGAGATTGAGTAAATTGATGACGGAACAAGGTTTAGCAGATTGAAGGCAAGAGGGACAGAGGAAAACAACGCATAACCTACCTAGAGAGATTGAGTAAATGGATGGTGGAACAAGGTTTATGAGATTGAAGGCAAGAGGGACAGAGGAAAACAACCCATAACCTACATAGAGAGATTGAGTAAATGGATGACGGAACAAGGTTTAGGAGATTGAAGGCAAGAGGTACAGAGGAAAACAACCCATAACCTACATAGAGAGATTGAGTAAATGGATGGCGGAACAAGGTTTAGGAGATTGAAGGCAAGAGAGTGAGAGAGGAAAACAAGACATAACCTACCTCGAGAGATTGAGTAAATGGGTTGTTAACAATGTTTATGAGTTTTAAGGCAAGGCGGACAGAGGAAACTAAGGCATATCCTAATTAGAGAGCTTTTGTAAATTGATGGCGAACAAGTTTTAGGAGAATTAATGCAAGAGGTTCGGCCGGAAAACAACGTATAACTTACCAGATAAGCCTGAGTAAATGGATGGTGAAACAGTGTTTATGAGAAGTAACAGAAACACGTTTGTTAAGAGCTACAAATTTCAGGAAGGCGTGGAGCACCATGACATAGCACTTAAAGAAAGTGGAATCTGACTTCAATATTGTTTTCTGTGATTTGACGATGTTCGTATAGTTTTCTTAAATGCGTTTTTCTTTGTGTGCACCAGTGCATTAAAATTTTACTCAGCTGGATGCAACATACAGGAAACGATGTCGAAATAAAGAGATGGCGACATGTATCTGTGTACAGAAGTAATTTAAATTTTAATTTTCTGTTTGCTTTTATTCATGTCTAGGAAAGGGCAGAACTTTTATTTTTAAGAGATTTTTTTTTCTTTCTTCACGAACTTCAAATCTTGATGTTAGCTAGTCAGGGATAAAATATGAACAATATAACAAAATCTAAATTATATTGAATTATATGCTTAGAAATTTGAAACGACTCCTTTGATAGGAGGTCAAACAGTATATGAATAATCTTAAAAAATTGTAATCTGAGTGTAATCTTTGAATAAATTATGAAGTCAATAGTGATATGTCTGTATATTTTACCGCATGCACAACTTTCCTAATGATTTTTTTTAATGCACACTTCTATATTTACTCCTTTCTCGGGAGGAAGTCTGATCAATCCAACAAGGTCATAATGGCGGTCAATGTCCAACACGACCTCTAGTCCGCAGCTATCTGGGGCAAAATATAACTTGTTAATTTTAACGGTTCCAAATCTAAAATCACTTTATTAATCATCTGAGAGACCATACTCTATCAGTATGGCTGATGCTAACCTCCAGTAAATGTCTTCTTGAGCCTTTTCGTGATTTTGATTTTAGGGTGGACCGTCTCTCGATTTTATCTAGGTCCCACTCCACATTTCACCTCAAGGTTCTAAATTCCTTGTATATCAGATCCCGTGGGTCTTCCCTCTGTAAACAGAGGGAATGCTTACTGGGTCTAGATGTTTTTGAACTCCATTATTTTTCTCATCCATTCGTTATCATTAATATTAATTAAATTTACACGCCTCCTTTTTATATCCCAGAAAATAAACTTGATAAATGTCATACAAATTTCGCTTAATCCTACTATTTTAAAATGTTGTACTATAAAAAAATATATATATATATA